CGGATTAATGCTCTTCCAGTAATGTTCCGAGATTCAGATCAGATTCAGATTGCGACACTAAGGGCCTACGACCTATCGGTTTTCGAACGCATTCGAACTATTTTGAATTTATTCGAATAGTGATTATTTCAAAATCAAGAGTTCCTGATCAAATGACCAGTGTAGTGGGAGCAGTTGTTCCTTTTACAAACCAAAAGACCATAATTTATTGCACTGATTTTGAGTCCTACACATCAGCTATTTCCGATGTGCTCTAAGCAACGAGCCCTCAAATATCGTTCGACATTTCCAGTGATTGCAAACGAACTGTCTCAACTGTCGCAATCGCAAACAAGAACAATCCAAAAAATAATGACTCTCGTCGAAAAAATTGAATTAAGAAACAACTTGGCTCACGACATGAAATGAAATTAATGAAAAAGCCTCGACTTCAAACAAACAATAACTGTATATCACGTACGACTGAAGCTCACTCATTCGCTGAGGTCTTCACAAGTATAAACAAGATAAAAAATTGTTGTTCAAGCCCACCTCCTCGAAGCTTGAAAGCCTCGCGCACAGCAGGTCTCGTCGGCATGAGAAATAGGCGCAGCGCTCAAATTAATGCAGAGTGACGTACGCATGCAGCTTGGAAAAGGAGGACAGCCGCAACGCGTCGCCAGCGCTGAATTGAATAAAAGATGAGCCAGAGATAGAGAGAGAAAAGTTTGATAAGGGAAGCGTAAACCGTTAAAATGGCATTATGTATAATATATCGACCTTGATATGTCCAGTCAAATAATGACAAGCTTTGAATTAGGCAATTCAAAAGTATCTGTCGAAAAGGTCTCGTGGCGCATAAGCATAAAGAAAGAAATACGCAGAACAAGGCACGAAATGTAGGTCGAGAGCGTCGCAATGAACGGATGAAAGCAAACGCGCGCGTGAATTTGATGAATCCGAATATGACGTCAACGCTCGCCTTTATCTGTTAGAAAATTGCGTTAATGATCTACACATGCCTATGCGTGCGCAAGCTTAATATTTTGTAATAGACGGACTTTCACCGCGAAGTGTCGCTTATATTCTAGTCTGCGTACGTGCACTGATATAATTTGCTTTAGGTTCCATTGTCAAAGAAAAACTTTTGGTCGTTAAGTGAATTGTGCGTGCGCTAGCGCTCTTTTCACGATCATCGCTCACGATTAGCTTACAAGTTGCAAAGTAATCCAATCTGGCGCATGGGTGTAACCTTTGTTTTCGTGGTTCGCGGCCAATACGCCTTTGAGTCTGATTGAGGAATCATATCGAATGAAAGTTCACTGTAGCTACTTCAGCTTTTTCATTGACGCCGTTAAATTTGAATTCGAGGAAGAAGATAGCAATCATTCAAAAAGAGAGGGAACCGCTTGGAAAAAAAGGAACGTTTGATTGATGCTACGCCGCAATATGTAACTACCGTAAGCTGTATTACAAAATAAGTGATGGGGCGATCGTTTTGTAGAGTTTGTTGCACGCTAATTGAAAAGGCTATTAATTCGCTACCTTTTTTTTTTCTTTTATAGCCAGCAACATTTCACTCGACTCGGCAGTAATAAATCGTGGAAAATCGGCAATTGCAATTATGTGACGTGTAATATGGGAAGTGTAAGTTCGCAACCCCCGAGACTTATCTCAAAAGGTCAATGTAAAACGACTGCTGCTGTTAATTTTCCGACGAAATCAAAATAATCGATAGATAACTATTCTTAGGTGTTCAGATATTTCGCTCACTCAGTTGCTTAAAAGTTTTAATTAGTTAGCCAAAGTTCTTTATGTTCTAACGATAATTTTTTGAAAAAAAAATGAACAACGCCACAATCACTCTTACGTAGTTTTGCCCATGTTATGTTATGTTTATATGACATTCAAGTCAAACAAAAGCGTATCTCTGGAGACGAAACAAGCGAGCGGCAAACGAATCGCAATGGAGCTCATATTCGCTGTGACAGTATGGTCTTATATAGAGAAAAGTGGCTACCCTGCACTTAAGCGGTTATAAAGCCCTTTCATAACGCTGTGATAGCAAGGTAGCAACTTTTTTGAAACGCTTGTGTTCAGGTATATATAAATCATAGAATGTGCGATTCGTATAAGGTCTAATGGAGATTTTCACGTCCATTGTTGTTGTTCACAATAACGTTTCATCCGTTACAGTAAGTTATTTTTTTTGTTTAAATCAGATCGCCATCATCATTGAATTATTAAATCGTTGTTTGTGATAAATGTTCGAGTCTAATTATATTTTAATCATATTCTTTTGTTATTCACCTTATAAAATGATCATTAACGATCATTCATCAATTATGTCATCGAGTACATCAAAATTCAACTTCCTGTTAATACAAAACGACATTTAAGGCCACCAGTTTTCTCAAGCAACACAAATAATCTCTCGCAGCTCGTGAATTTCCTAACATCGTTAAAATAAAAAGGCTTTCGTTCGATGTCGAGGTCTTTTAGATCAAGTACATTATAAGCTGAACCGTATTAGGTAGAACATGCACCGTATGATGACAGAAGATTTTTTCAGAATGAAAAATCGGCTACCGCCACAGCCATCACGTTCACGCTTGACGTCATAGCACGAATATCGACCTAATTTCCGTGTGGCGATTTTCGAAATAGAGAGGAGGGGTGAGTGCATCGCTCAACTCTCGAAAATACACGCCACTGGTGGTGTTATGTATCGTCTATTTTTGGCCAGAATTCTGGTATTTTTGACGTTGCATTTTGGGTAATGGGTTGTCGATTGTCAGATTGATAGTCATTTCGTGTAAGCTGAATATGGATATTTTTGGATGTAATTAAAAGGTTATACCATTTACAGTAGTTTCGCTGACTATTTTTGCTGAACAATTGATAAGCCTTCTAAAAACATTTCATTACTTATTTTACAAAAAGTAATCATTCGCACAATATTCAAGCAGAAATCCAAAGCTCCATGAAAATCGCAAGCAAAAATTCATGACGATATCTCAAATTATTAATGTAATATATTAATGAACATAAAAATGTACAGATTTTATTAAAAACGTGTGTTCTACTTTTGCTCTCACATTAATCATGAAGCTTTACTAGGACGTTGTCCTAAAAAATCCGTTGGCGCGAAAAAACAATCGGTGAAGCATATATCGAGGTTATCGGAGTTGTCGATTGAATGGCTCGCACACTTTATGGAATGGGTTATGGTTTATGGTAAATACTCTTACATAGCTGTTAGAACCCAGCTGTGAGGATTTTTAGTACTAGGATCAGTATAAAACTGATTATTAGGCGTATGAAATTCTCTATGGTGACTGGAATTGCATCGATAAGAACACAGCATCGAGCACCATAGCTACATTAGTTAGTGTGAGAAGTAGGTAAGCGTTACGCTACAACCAAAACAAAAGATCTCCCGTAAACTTTTACTTTCGAGAGGCAAACTTAAAAACTAGTTTTCACATGCCGTAAAAGTACCGGTCAAAGTGACTCATTCTGTAAACAATATAAAGATCACGATATATCTCACATTTACGATTCTCCTTCAGACACGCACCTTAAACACCTTCATAAATAATCGACGTAAAAGTCCAAGTCTTTTTGCAACGATAGTAAAGCTACAACAGCAAAAAAAGCATTCGTCCTAATCGGCTGTGGAAGAAGCTTCTTATGACAGACATATGCTAGGCGTGGTTATACACATGGCGAAACTAAAAAAGCCATTGTCGCACATGTGTGTGTATGTGACTCCCGCGCACTTTTTTTATTTCCGCCCGCAGCGCGCGACAAAAGCAGTGGTAACTGAGTTTCGTAAACGGACAATGCCGAATGTATATATGTTTTCTCCTTCTCATTGTTTTGCGTAGCCAACTACCATGTTACTTTTTTCTATGAGCGATCGTGTAAGAAAGACCAGTCAACTTTCGATGGATTTCATTGATTTGAATTTTATATGATAGGCACGTGAATCACACGTGACTATCGTAATCATTGCAGAGGATTTTCTAAAGGAAGTCGTCGACTTTTGGAATTTAATTCAATTTTTTTATGTTCAATGTATGAATCACAAGGTTATATAAATTAAAAAAATTTGTGTATTGTACCACACTAACTTGATCATTTCGTTCATCGATCGCAACAACAACAAATAACTCAAACACAGAGACCATTACCATATTCGATCGGTAACAAATAAAGGGCTCGCGCGCTTCTTGTATTTTAATATCAAACTTAACGCAAGCGTGTAAGAGAAACAATCTGGGCTCTCGGTGTTATACTCTAAATATCAGGTCATTTAGTCAGAACGTTATTATGGATTAAGGGAGGGGGAGAATCTTTGTCGCACATACAAAGTATGTGGCATACGACGATAAAGCTCGAGTTACATGAAAATTCATCCGCGTATTATCAAGTGACTTACTTCGGAGAGAGAGAGAGAGAGAGAGAGAGAGGGAGAGAGAGAGAGATAGATAGATAGATAGAGAGAGAGAGAGAGGCAGACAGGCAGGCAGGCAGACAGACAGACAGACAGGCAGACGTTCGTATGTTTTCGAGACCCCGTCTATATACCTTTGGTCATCGGGATCCTTGCTTCAGTGATTTTCCCATGTGTATACGTAGTCTTGAGATCTGAGTCATGCGACGTTGAACGAAAAAAACACACCCATACACTCACGTACACACATGTATATATGAAGATTTTCAGCTGCTGCTGCTATTATGACGATATCCTTCCGAAAGTTATTTTTTCATGTTATTCTTGACTTTCATTGTCATTGTACACTGCTATTTATGCAAACGTATCCATAAATTGTCTTCGTGGTTCTGTTCAAGTAAATCAAACATTAATGATAAAGTTATGTTAAGATTTATTACGAGAAATGATGCAATTATTGTAACAAATTCTGACATCAACTTGATTAACGTAGTCGGAACGAAAAACAAGTACCAAATAGTTGTCAATAAGAACATTAATATTTATATTCATAAATTTCCAGAGCGTAGGTGGTACAACCGGCGGCGACGACTCAGACGAGGACACTCAGTGCGCATTGAGTGAGAACTGGACCTTTGAGAAGAAGACGCGACGTTGGTCGCGTATCTGCGACATCACGCCTGGTAACGTGGAACGTCTGCAGGCCATCGCAGGCCAGCAGCAGCAACAGCAATCACAACAAACACAATCAACAATCGATGACAGTTTAGACGATCGTTTGGAACAAGACGAAGCTGACGACACGATGCTCGACACACTTCGTTATCGTAGTTTACCGCCAGGACCATTACCTGATGAACTTGGTACTCGATTCAGACGAACCGGTTCGGAACGTCTACGCGACGGTGCCAAGGCATTCCTTCGACGTATGGAATCTTTAAAATCACGGAGGAGGAAGCATCAGCATAATCGCGATGGAGTTGTGATAAGTGGACCACAAGTGTTAGACGTATTGTCGATGCAACAGCGTATGAAGGATCTCAATTGCGTGGATGTTTCTCCAACCGGAGACGTATCATTTGCCGATCTCTTGCTATCACCATCACCCCTACAACTACAAGCTTCACCTACTACAGCGCCAACAACATCTCCATTTCATTTGCCAGCACCCTCGTCGCCAATGGCTAACACTGCTAGTGCTTTTGGTGATGATTCGTCGAGTTACTGTTCGGACGGTTCGCAAGGTGGTGGTCCTACGCCTACACCAACTAAAACTAAGATGAATAAGGCAAGAAGGTTTCTACATCGTGGATCTCGTGAGGATCAAGGTGCACTTAGTGATTCCGAATGTCAACCGACAAGTTGGAGGCATCGCTACTTTAAAAATGCTAATAGCAATAACACTAAGGTGAGCGTTTATATTCAATTAAGTTTTCCATGATAATTTCAAGAAAAAAATACATTGATAAATTGAAAATTTTTTGCAGGTTTTAGATTATGTCACCTCAAGCCCCAAGGACTCACCATTGAAAGCGAGCATCGTAAGTAATGCAGCGATCAATACACGCGGTGGCAGTTTAAACTTAGGCAAAGAGTCGAATCGCTATCGCGATAAGTTTTCTACGAATAGCCACAAAGAAGACAAAGTGGCAGTATTGAAACGCGAAGAGAAATTCCATAAAAGCTTCCGTCATCGTAGCGCCGACGAGCCAATTCGAACGGAGAAAATCGTCACCAAAGAAGTGACGGTCTACCGTTCGGAAAAATCTCGTACAACAGCAAGTAGCCAAGAGAGTAGTTCCACCGTTGCAAGTCGGGATTCTGATCAAGAGGAAGATTCACCGAGACACAAGGGTAACGTCGTCAGGTGGCACAGTTTTCAAAGAGGATCGCTCTATCCAGAACCTCTTGATCCGCTGTGTCCACGTGCTGTGGCGTCAATGTCATGTGGACAATTGTTAGTGTTGAGAAAATTAGCGCTATTAAAGTTGACCGCATGTATGGAAAGATACTGCCCGACCCACCGTACCGGCTGGAATTGGGAATTACCCAAATTTATCAGGAAGATCAAGACTCCGGATTACAAGGATAAAACTGTCTTTGGTGTTCCGTTGTTACTGTCACTTCAGAGGACTGGTCAAGCACTGCCCAAGTGTATTCAGATTGCTTTGAGGTGGCTCAGGGCTAATGCTTTGGATCAAGTTGGAATATTCAGGAAGAGCGGCGTAAGATCGAGAATTCAGAAGCTCAAAACTATGACGGAAACTCAAGGCGATAATATTAATTTTGACGGGCAGCAAGCCTTCGATGTGGCTGATTTGATCAAGCAGTACTTCAGGGAACTGCCCGAGGCACTGCTGACTAACAAGTTGTCCGAGACGTTTATTGCTATCTTCCAGCGTAAGTTCAACGATAAATCTACATTTTCATATAACTATTTTCAAATAAATTTTCAATCTTATCGTAATTGCATAGATGTACCAGTAGAACTACGACCAGATGCAGTTCAGTGCGCCCTTCTCCTTCTACCCAACGAACATCGCGAAGCTTTGGAAACATTGCTCGACTTTCTGAATCACGTGGCGGCGAATGCACCTTACAACCAGATGACCGCGTCGAACTTAGCAGTATGTTTGGCGCCAAGCCTGTTCCACTTCAATCATAGCAACGCGAACGTGAGCAACAGGTCAAACAGCGTGTCACCGCGACGTCGAAAGACCGTTGGTATACCCGACCAACGTGAACTTTCTGAAAACAAGGCGGCTCACGATTGTCTGCTATATCTCATCAAAACTCATCGCGAGTTGTTCATGGTGAGTTTGTTTAATCATTATTATTGTCATGGTCGTTTTCGTTCGAGTGTATGATGTGCTGATGTATTTTCGTTTAGGTGTCGTCAGACATATTGTCGCAGTGCCACTTCAACTACATGGAGGAAAGTGTGCCAGTCCCGTTGGAGGAACTTGGCTCGGAACTCAAGCAAGACTGGAGGGGATATTTGTACGCCTGTACCTCGGCTTTGCTCAAGGAAGGTCGCGAAAAGTAAGCGAGAAAAAAACATGCTCTTTCTTAGAAACTTCTAGCTTGCGCGTTTCTCTAAGACTTGCTTTAGCTTCCGCTGAGTGTATGTCATTGTTGGAATGCTTGGGATGCTTTATACGACTGTGAATCAATGTAAAGGCTAAGAAACGCGAATGGATGCTCATATAACAAATAATAGTTGTTAATAAAAAACTCATAAAGAAAACGTCAATGAATGTTAAAGGAGCCGCGGCTGGGTGTCAGTGAACAATCCTGCTGACTCAAATGTCGAGATGGCATACAAAAAGGTAGGCGATGGTCATCCGTTGCGATTGTGGCGCGTAACTACGGAAGTGGAAGCGCCGCCAGAAGAACTGTTGCACCGGGTGCTACGCGAACGTCACATCTGGGATCCACAGCTGCTCAAGTACCGCCAGGTGGCTAAGCTTGATGCCAATGCCGAAGTCTTTCAGTACGCTACTGGCAATATGAGCCCATTACCAGCTCGTGACTATTGCGTTTTGAGGTTGGTTGATTTATCATCTGTCTGTTCATACTGCGGTATAGAGAGGATAATTTCATTTAGATATGAATTGGAAATTACATTAATTACAGATCATGGCAGACAGATTTGCCAAAAAAAGCGTGCGTTATAGTTGAGACTTCCGTGGAGCATGCAGACGCGCCGGTAATGCTTGGCGGTACGCGCGGCATTGTATTAGCATCGCGCTACCTCATCGAGCACTGCGGAAGCGGACGATCTCGTATTATGCATCTATCCAGAGTCGACACTAAGTGAGTATCATACACTGCTACACTTCGTATTTCTTCTCTTTTCATTTGATTACCGTCTGAGAGTTGATATCAGAGAGTGATGTGATTTCGCGCGGAGTGATACGATGGAGGATGGTGATCCTTTTGCTAGTTCTGTTGAATGTGATAATAACGGAATTTGCACTTGTTTTTCAAGGGGTCGCACACCTGAATGGTACAACAAGAGTTACGGTCATATTGCAGCATTGCATTTGAGCAAAATTCGTGCCTCGTTCAAGCACACAACGGACGGTCCGGAAAGCAAAGTCTGAGATAAGTCGACCGCGCAGCCATCGGTGCTGCGCGGTTCAACTCATGAGAAACAGCAGGAGCAACGACAGCAGAAACAGCAGCCACCGGAAAAGCCTCCATGTGCGACAGTGATCGCCGCAGCGGTAGCTACAGCAATTGACCAGATGTCTGAGGTGCAACCACGGCATGATCCGCACTTTCTGCGACCTCCGACTACCGACAGCGATTAAAAGTGAATTTATTTTTCGACCAAAATGCGCATTCCAGTGCCTATCCAGACGAACTATTTTATTCTCACGTGTATAGGTTGTTATACGCGAGCACTATCTTTGTTACCCAAACCCTTTCACACAACATCCCTTTATGTCGAATGTGTATTTTTCATATAATGTGTATAACCAATGTCTATACCCGACGAGTGCTGTAGACTTTTTTTACGAGATGTTTCTTCCCTACGGACCAAATGTCGTGTTTTCTTTTTTCTAATTTTTTGGTTTTTGAACAATGATTAATTAACGTAGGTAGCGTACATATATATATTATCCGCGTTTACGAGATGCAGATATATAATCGCTATATATATTTTAATACGTACGAAAAAGATAGCGAATGAAGTAGTTGTAGTATTGATATTTTTTGTGTTTCGGAAGAGAAATCTATCGTAACGAGACGCTGTGCGTACCAAAAGTGAATGTCAAACGTATATTTTTAATGAGGAAAGAAAGAAAGATACGCATCGAACCAGAAGCTTTCAAAGCTATATATGCGATACCTGAATATTATATTATATACAAGAGTAGTTTGTAGCGTTCCTAATTCGAGAGTCTTATGTTAATCCCGACGAATTCGTTAGTTTTTAAGTAAAAATAAGTAAAATATATCTTCCTTTTGTACTCAATCAATTGAACAAGAAAAGAAAGTTAAAATTACTGTAATTCCTCAAGACCAAATATGTCAAGACAAAAGCAAAGCCTATTCACGAGTGTCAAATTGATTAAAGTCACAAAGCGTTCCATTAGTTTTGTCGTATATTTAGTGGACAAAATAAACCTACGCTCGTGTCTATGTGTTCGAAGTTGTTAATCGTCACATGTTATTCTCGAATTTAAGAAGTAAAGACAGAAAAACAAATAACTAAAGAATTTACCATGTGGACCAGTTTGAAGTGGCCCAAAAACTCTATATATAATACAGAAAGATATAAATACGTTTTGTTGGTGTGTGTTAGCGCGCGCGCAAGTGTGTGTGTGTGTGTGTGTGTGTGTGTGTGTGTGTGTGTGTGTGTGTGTGTGTGTGTGTGTGTGTGTATGTGTGTGTGTGTGTGTGTGTGTGTGTGTATGACTCTAATGCCCCTGGAATTATCGTCGATGTATTTTAACATAGATGCTAGTCAAGTTAAGGAGGTGCGCGTAAATTGTTAAGGATTTATCTGTCAATAAGCAAAAAAATGACGCGTTAAACGTTACACGCGCAACAATAAATGTTTAGATTTATATTCCAAGATATTTATCATGTAAAGGATAGAAGAAGCAGGTATAACGATATATTTAAGCGTATTGTCGCGAGAGTTTTAATGAAAAAAATCATAATAATAATAATGAGTGCGCAAAATGAAAAGGTTTTAAAAAAGTTTTATGCAAAGATATATTTTTATGTCTATAAGAGCCAGTAGATACGGAAGATGTGATGCGAATACATACACGATGTATCACTGTTCAGATGTATATATGTACATTATATTACATTGAATGAAGAATATATACATATATATTCACTAAAAAATAATTTTTTTATTAATTTTAAATATCTCCATTCCTTATATTTGTATAGCTTCCAATAATAGGAAAGGAATTGTAGGAAAAGAGATCTGTTCATTAAAATCAAGGATCTTTCCTAAGCCGATAGAGAAAGCCTCTCACAAAGTTGGAATAGCTGGTTCTATATTTTTCAACTTTTGCAGTCAAGCATTTGTTAAATCAATAATACCGTTGCCCACAGTGATGTTAGTCACACGTGTAGTTGGTTTCTCGAATCGAAGGTTACAAATTCGGCTTGTTCACCTCTGTGCGTAGACATAAACAAAACAAATCAAGAAATAACAATCTAATCGCAAGTAATTTCAATTGTATTGTATACATTGTAAAATATAACTATTTGAAGATGGTACGAATGCATGTTAAGAGACAAACTGAAAGTTTATTTCTTTACGACACAAGTGTCGAAACAAAGGTCGACGACATCATCAAGGATATATGCATAATTTTTAATGGTCGTTTGAAAGTGTCTAGACTGTGTTATGGTAAAACGATTGATTTATTATCAAATATTTTTAAGCAAATAAAGTACTTTTAATATCAATGATGTTCAAGAGCAAATTATTATATGAAAATAGATCTAGAAGATTTAGCTGAGCACGGAACAATGCTACCACCTAATATGCAAGGATTAACCGATGAGCAAATAGAAGAATTACATTTGAAAGATGAGTGGGGAGAAAAGTGTTTACCTTCGGGTGGTTGGACGTTCAATAGAGACGTAATGGGTAAAATTAAATTAATTTTCTTATAGAAAGCATACAGTTGTTTGGATGATTTTCCAATAACATGATATTCATTGATTTATCCATAATTTACAGGCCGCAGGAACGGCAAACAACCCAATGAAAGTATGCAGAAAGTTATAAAAAAAGCAATTGAAGATACTCGATCAATGATATCAAAGGTAAAATAAACTTATTTGTGCCATGAAGTAATTTTAGATAACTTGTAAAAGTATGATTACTTTAATTGTTATTCATAGAAGTTGATAAGTGAAGATAAATTCGTCACTCAAAAAGTCGTTCAAGATGCTCTAGACCTCATGCGCGGCGCCGTAATGATAGTTTATCCCATGGGAATACCTCCCCACGATGTCATCCGTCTTGAATTTGAAAACAATGAAGATTTATCCGGTACCCATGCTTCCCTCGAGGTAACTTAGTTATCGAATATAAATTTAACTTTTTAAATAAATATCAATTTTTCAAATAAAAATTTTCAGGTGATAGATTTGGACACGGCTCAACTATGGTTTTCTGGAAAAGAACTGATCCGCGGGCATCAATTAAAAGAATTTGTTGGGCACAATGAAAAAACAAAAATTATTGTTAAATTAGCCAAAAGAGGATCAGGAGCGCCTCCACGAGAACCCGTCATGACAGACGACGACCGCAAGCAGCTGATGATGCACGCGTACAAGCGTCAAGAGGAACTTAAGGTAAGTGATTGTTTGCCTTTTTCTTTTATCGACTGTACGTTAAAGGGTTCTCCTATATCGACGATCGCTGTATGATTTTCAATGTATTTGATTGATCATCACATTTTCGAGGATCAATTGATCTGCGTTTTAAAAGTTTTTATAAATATATATCGATGGAAAATGACTTAGAAATATCAATATGAAATTTTAGGACATTTTTACCAAAAAATTAAAATAAATTAGATTTTCCAAATAAAAATTCACAAAAATAAATTTTATATATGTCTCATGACTTGAAAAAAATTGAAGTATGCACCAACGAGCCATGATAGACAAACCATCTTGATTCTTGTTTATACAATTTAATATTACTTATACTTTGTGCGGTAACAATCATTATGTTATAACAAGTAAATTTTAATTAAGGTAAGTTGATCAAACATTTATTTTATATCATCGATTAAAAATTGTATTTTTTGGAAGTTACATTGTGGTAAATTTATCAATATTTTTTATTCAAACCAAATATAATATCTTTAATAATAACAAAATGCAAGCTTTCAGTGGGAATTTACTAAGTTTTATCATGCTAAAATATTATTCGAACTATAAATTGAAATGAAGTTCACAACTGCTTACGTCCACTTACATACCAGGTGTAAAACTCAGTGTGAAAACCAATACTGGAGCACCAGTTGCATTACCTAGTTTGCTGACCTTCTCACATATGTTATTAAATTTTGCGTCCAAGCGTTCAAAGTAAACTCGACTACCACTATGGAGTTGAAAAAATTTCCTAAGTTTTTTCATGTAATAAGTAGAGTTATTATTATTATTACTCTGTTTGCAAAATATCGAGTTGCCAAAAGAAACCCTTAGAAAAAATTATACAACCTTATTCGGCTTCATTACGACCTTATTCGGCTCCTTCTACTCTTAAAGAATCAGCGAGCAAAAGAGAAAGCGAACATTTGACCCAATTCGTGAATTCTCTCTCTCTCTTTTTCGAGCACGCGCTTGCTTTTAACCAACTTAATGCGCGTACACACGTGGTTAAGCTTCGTATTCGCCAGAGCAAATTAGTTAACGACCTTTTCTCCTCATTGCCGCTCGATATTTATGGGCATACGTATATAATGTCCGTGCTAATAGCAATGCTTGCTGTCTCCGGTCTACTTTGTTTTTGTTTCACGCCTTTCTTTACCTATTCGCCTATACCTCCTGGAGATCGATTAAATCGACGGCAAGTTTATTTGAACTTTAGAGTGCAAGTTTCAGATGACTGATCCAGAGAAGATAGTTAATTGATCTATTGCTAATAGATAATTTGAGGTTTGCCTTAATTTCTTACTGATGCAATAAAGTTTAAAATTATCTTTATTTTTGTTCTATGTTTAGAAAGTTATATATTTTTATTATATTGTAAGATTTAGCTGAATTTTTGTATATTATGATCTGTCTTCTCGAGTTCACAATATTAATTCATAGAACCATGCTTCGAAATGTATTAATCAATTTCAAATCTATAGTTTTAATGGCACAAAGACGTCACTTTAATTATCTTTTTTCATAAGACCAATGATTTCCATTGATAAAACAGTGCATTTTTTATTAAATAAAATATTTCCAAAAAAAAAACTTCAATAAACAATCAGATAGCATTAACGTATTTCTATAGATCTTGGTGGATGGCTATTCCGCTTATTCTGCCCTGCCGGGCTACTTCATTCGATGAAATATTAAGAAGAGCACCTGGCATAAAAAGGCAAAGTTAGGAAGCAATATGGAAGTGAAGTTTTGTATTTCAGTGGAAGTAGCCGCGTAATAAAATGTCTGAATATTGAGGTTGACCGGAAACCCTTGACACTTATTGTACATGATAGCTTGAACTGCACTATAGACTAGACTTGACAATTTGTGAGACTTTAAACAACGATATGTTGAAAAATATCGAGGATAAAACAATATGTACGCAAATTACATTGTTTTTACATCAAATACTAAAGAGTCTTATGCCTAAAAATGAATATACCGTCCACCTAAAAAGTGACATAGGCTTAGCCAACATAACTTTCGATAATTTCCAAGATAAAAGATATACCTCCTAAAAAAGAAAATCAACTACTACAAAATAAAGTTTTCTCGATCGTGCATTTTCACAAATGTTTATTCCACAAAAGACTTTGTGCATTTTCATATTAATGGAATAAAGGAAGATATGTAGAGAAAAGCCATTAACGTGTTGAGTCACGTCACAATGTAGACGTTTGTTGACGTCGTCACCCGTCTTTCGCAACTGGTTTTCATTAAAAGCTAGATCGATCGAAGAGGCGTATACGTAACTCCTGGGATGTTTTCGAAGCCTTAGTAAAATTTTATCTTTCCCTTGAACGAGTTCAGACGCAAAGATAAAAGAATCGACGCATTCGTTATGCGCATGACCTACTGTTTGAGTGATTAAACTGTTTTTTTTTTGTATAGCTTAGAAATCAAGTATATTTGATCTGTGAAACTTATTTATTTTGATATATGTAGTCATTCAATATTTTTATCAATGAAAAATGGTATTTTCTAGATTAATCTATTGCTTCAAGTACAAAGCAAGCTAGTGAGACCCAAGCACTTCATTGATGGAAACATTTTATTACGAAATGAAATGAACATATCAATTGCAATTGAAAATTTCTTAATACGTATCTAAGTACTAATTTTTTATTTCGGTCAACCATCCAATAAATTAAATTCATATTTTAAATAGTACTTTTTCCAAGCTCAGTTTTCTATCAATCTTCCACTTATCACATATAATTTATATACTATAGCATTGGAAACATTTTTCATCGCAATGAAATGACTGTAGTGAAATGGTTACAAAACACCAGGGGAAACTTAGATTTGTAGCTTAACGATAGATTTGTATGTAACTTTAATTCAAATTAAGCAAATTAAATTCTCTACGTATTCTTGAAATTTGCATTCTGGATGCGCGGTGTCGAAGTAGGTTGGGTCGCGATAGATATTTGCCCTTTAGAAGTGTGTAAGATTCAAATAAAAACTATTCAGAGTAATTCAAAATTTGTATTCTACTTTCGTATAATTTTTTGAAAATAAGAATTTAACAGATTTTGTTTATGCACAATGAATGTTTCCAGGAAATTTTAACTTAATTAGTTTATTTGTTTGAGGGAAAATCTCTAAAAATCTCTTTTTCTTTTCAGTTGGTAACGCAATAGAGCCTTAAGAGGAGCTATCGTCCTCCCGCATTTGACTTTAATTTTCATTTAAAAAATGTGTAGGATTCATTAAGTCACTCTCTCGTGTTTATTTATTTGTCGAAGCAAAATATCATTGATAGATCGATGCGCGATAATATGCGTGCAAAAAAAGAAATTATACACGAAACGCACCAGTTGTTTTACGCTTGGTAGAGATATTTTATTGATATAAAATAATAATGCAGTTTATTTTTAAACCATTCTTGGATGCTTTAACTTGAAATTATTGCTTTCAAAACGACGACCTACTTTTTTCTTTTATCACTCGATGACACGTACTCGTAGATATTTTAGTAACAAAAAAAATTTACGTAAATAAACATACTTACATTGGTGTTCGCAGTGATATTAAAAATTTGTAACAATTTTAGATAAAAAAAGTTCTTGGGGAAAAGTAACAATGCCGAACCTAGTGTTTTTCTTCACCCTCAAAAACGTAAAAATCTAAAAAAAACGAGTAAAAATCATTTTCGTAGTCTTGAAAGGCTCTGTGTGAGTGTGTGCGCGCGCGTGCGCGTGTATGTGCGTGGGCGCGCACTTATCCATCGAAGATGTTCTCAAATACGAAGTGCTTCGTGTCACGCGAACTTATAGTATCTACATATTAATCTACGAGAAATGAGTTTTGAGATGTAGTAAATAAAGACTAGTTTCGTTAGAAAATTATTTATTTACGTAATTAAAGTGACACAAATATCCGACAAAATCAAGTTTATCCGTTTAAATATAGTTATGGATTAATTTTGAATAATGGTGTTGGTTTTTGTTATCCTTTACGATAAATTCTTAATTCATTCGGGAAAGTATCAGTACATAACAAAATAAATCCCGATAGAAAATATTTTCACAATGATATGGATCAAGCCAAAAGTTTAATTATTCAAAAAGTGACAGTTCGTTTGAAGCAGTGTATCAATCTGCTTTGAAATTACAGATCTCTGATAAAGATGTAATTATATAAACTCAATAAGAGAAGGCACGTAGAGCACTTACAGGTAAATATAGCGCACTTTATCATTTTTATTTATTTGGTTTTTATATTTTGTATATTTTATATTTAAAACTTGAAAAAAAAAACACAATTGTAAAACAACAATGACATTTAGATTGTGCAAACTTTGCTCAATTTTTCATGTTTACTTTGTTACGCGATCACACTGCATTACTCTCGAAAATTCATTACCAAGATAATTATGACATGCAATTAGAGGTGCGTACATATACGCGAGTGCATTCGAACGAACGAAATAATTATATTGAAATCTACAATATATTAGTATATTACGATATATATTATGATAGTATTACTTTATATCCTAAATTTATGTGTCTACATCTCTAAATTAATTCTATTGGAAAATTCTATCGACATTTTGCCAATTTCACAGGCGTATGGCAAAAGTAAATTTTTTTTGTAATGACGTATAGTATAAGCATATCTCATTAAAAATATAAATTTGTAATCTTTAATATTGCGTTATTTAGTTATTGAAATAGAATATATCAGAAGCTCTTCATTATGTTTCTTTTTAATTTGAAGATTAATGATCGTTTTAGGCGTTATTATCAAATTTGTTGTTTTAATTTCATTTCAAAAGCGAGCAACAATATATTTCATGAGACATTATAAACTCGATGTCACTTTTAACGAAGTGTTATGATATATCAATTTGTACGGAAAGTCATAGAGAGTCAATTTTTTACAGAATTTGGAATACTTACATCTAAAAAAGTAACGCCAGCTATATTCATAATCATAACACACGGCAGTTCCAATTTTATAAGCTTAAAAAATACTTTCAGTCGAGATGAGTAGATTCTTATTAAATATTTTAGAAACGTGAACTACGAATCAATTGATACAGATAAATATTTTAATGTTTAATCACATTTAGTTTTATAAAAAGAAATATCTGTAATTGGTAAAAACAACCGCATCAGTTAAGTTATTTTTAACAGCAATTGCTCAAGTTTTTTATCCAGACAAAAGGTAAGAGCACGGTAGGAAAAATGTAATCCATTGTAAATTACAATTAGATATCGCAGTATTGTGAAAGGCCACATTCATAGAAACAAAGCAATAACTATGCTAGATTGGTTAGCTCCCTAGCGTGTACATTGAAACTATAAGCAACAGTTAATTATATACTTTAGATCGCACATAATCCTAATTTAAAAATATTTTTCCTTAAAATTTCTACCTCACAAAACGTTCAATTGTGGAATTTTTAAACATTTATTTGTTTTGACACAAATTGTATACCTGTTGCATTAAATACCATAAATAAAAATCATCAGTATAATTTACGTAATTATTGATTGACTTAAAAAATAATGTTACATCAACATTCAAATTCATTAGAAACACATTCAGAAACTTTCATAAGTTTATTGGTATTGTGTAAAAAGCTTTCCTTTATATTATTTTCAAATGACTTTTTCTAAAACATCTTTTCAATAGTTGACGTACACTGTTTTTTGTTAAAAATATGTACAGGTAAATAATACTTCGATCACATGTCACTGCTTGGAGGCTGCAATTGAATTGATATGGGCACCGGTGAATGAAGGAAAATTTTCAAATTTTACTGAGATCATAAAAGGTTTCACTTGAACATACGTTGAATTGAAGATCGATGTCAGTATCATGAATCATTTGCCCTTGTTCATCCCAAAATGTGTTTGTAACAATTTCGCAAAGAGATGGAACAAAGGCTTCCAGAGTTTTTTTTTAATTTAAAAAGAAATTAATTAATACATATGTTACAGAAAGTTTAAAAAAAAATGGGATACTGATTTAAGGTTGCGTTATTACAATAATCAAAATTTAACAAACTTACAAAAATATAAAAACTCATAATTGTTTGGATACCTTTGAATCGAGTATTGATTTTACAAATGATACATGACTACTCACATATTAAACATTAAAGTATAGTCGCTTAAATCGTTTGAATTAAAAAAATGTTTTAAATTCACAAATTCTATATTTTAAGTGCGCACTACTTCTTCATTAAAAAAAAACGATCAGTGTATTTCGAGTTATACAGTTCACATCGTGTATGTAATGCGACTTCGCTTTATCAAGAGTCATTATCAGACGAAAAAAACTTACGGAGATTCAAAACGAATCCTCTGCATCGTCGGTATCCATAAGTGGTAGTCTTTCATACTGCTCCATCATCCTATTCACGTTACTATTGCTGGTACTCGAAGTAGGCTTGGACTGCTAAAGTGCTACGTTACTTGTATGTTGCGGCGGAGTTGTGGTAGTTGCGATGACATTTGTCTCGACGAGATTCTCACCTTCACGTGATGAACTCTTGCCAACGCAGTAACGACAGTGCATCTTAGCATCGTCACCTACTTGTACCGATCGCGTGATTATAACCAAGCTCACCAAACTGATGACGAATAAGCAGGATGGTACTATCACTGCAATCAATAGCTCTGTACGGGTCTTGTTCAGATCGAAACGTGCTACCACGAAGAAAGAGTCATTCTGCAAGCAAAACAATTATAGCAACAAGTATTGAGGCAACTTTTGTTTTTTTTTAATTTTAGTTTAAGATTGTATAATGGGCGTAATTGTAATTGATGTTTACACGTGGTCATCCTCAAAATTAAAGCGAATAGCGTTTTTCGTGAAGAACTTGTGACTATTCTTGTTAGATCCTTGACTATTTGAATAAAAATAAGATGTGTTTATGTAAAGGATTAATTCCAAACTAAAATAAATAAATTATGCATAATGATATAACGTTGGTGTACATATTCAGATTGCAACCAAGATTGTTTTAGTCTAGCTTGGTAAATAGCCTCATCTAAATTGATAATATACATCTTGAGGCAAATTTTAGCAAGCCTACAATGATCCCATTTTTCTTAAAAGCTTCTTAAAAACAACTCACGCATAGAAAGAGATGTCCCGATGAGCCTTAGAATGTCTATGCGATTGCAGCTAATAAAAACGAATAAAATAAAGATCCCTGAACGGATTTTTCATAAAATATTCATATTAATGGACGAGAAAAAGTTATGGAAGCAAAAGAACAAAAGATCTTTTTTCGTAATAAAAATAATATTTTACGTAGCGAGCACATTTCTCTCATTCTCATTTCCCATCGTTCTCTCTCGTTTTGCACTTGACGTTGACCTATATTGGAAAACATGACGTAATAACCGCAAGCATACTGACAGATCTCTGCGAATTCCCTATTATCGATCAACAAAAGCATTATAAGCGTGCTTTGGATTTCCATTCGTATAGCAAAAATCTTTGTATTTGTATTGAGATTGAAAAAACGATTGCATTTTTTTTGTATTCTTCATCTAATATTGTGCAATGATTCGGCTTTTGTTTCTTTTCTCTTTTGTAAATTATAAGATGTACCCTCAATTAATTCAAGTTTTAATTAAATAAAAATCCACGTTTTACAGTTTATTTCTACAGTGTTGTATATTTGATCTTGAAAATTCATGGTAAAGTATTTTTAACTCTTAACTTTTTACATAATACAACCTGATAAAAGAATAGAGCGCACGTGTGAAAATTTTAATCGTCCCTCGCTATATAGACTTGCTTGTTTCAATAGCGTAAAAATAGCGTAAGCAACCCTTCGACTCTATTTATCTGTCGCTTATAAGGTTTTTTCATCCGAGAAGGTTCTTATGGTCACGCAATCCATAATTAAACTAGCAGCATTTATGATGTTACACGCGAAACTTATATAATCTATAATAATAAGTGAGAATTGGATATTAGAAAATTTTCGAAACGAAAATGCACTATGCCATATAATGTGACATATATCCATAAAACGTTTTCTTGCGATTGAGAAAAAACTCAATGTTCCTGAAATCGTGATCATCTATCTCTCTGGTGTATACGGTTGAAAGGCGTTCGCGCGGGTGCGAGAAAATTGCAAACACACGATACCTCCACAAGGGAGTAGAAGGTATACACCCGAGTGTATGATCGATGGATTGAAAGTACATAAGGGATGGAAATAAAAAAAAGACAAAAGTTGATTAATGACCTGCGCTTTGCAATCGAATGGCACTAACGGTAAGCAGTTGTTTATCGAATGAATGAGTATTTATACTACGGAAATTCATTTGGTTTTGTTTGAATAATGTTGGCATATTTCAAAAATATATGCATACAGTAATAATCAGCTGGAACTTGCACTATTATTATCAAAGGATTACGAAGTTCTTTGATTTGTGTAGTGATGTATGAACTCTTTTGAGTGCAATTCATAATATCGGAAAAGAGCTCGACATGATTCCTGAACATTACTGGGCATTTTATGGTATTTTTAGTTGAAATAATGAAATATTCATGGCAAGGCTATATTTTTCAATCATATTTATAATTTTATTTATAATTTTTTTTATATTAAATAAAAACAACGTTAAATTAAATCAACCATTTCGATTGGAATTGATTCAATTTTTATTTTGCATAACTTTGCATGCAGAGGAAATATCAAATACAAATGAAAATAAAAAAATTCGAACAAAAACCAATTTCTCTTGTACATACTCAAATGAAAAAATGTTATAATAGCCACACCCGAACAAATTATCTCGCTCGATTCAACCACATAATTCTCTAAAATTCAATCAGTGTCACTTACCTTGTTATAATAACACGGATATCGGCTTTGTGCAGTCTGATTATCGCCGTCGGCGCCATGAGTGCCAAGAAAGTCGCGGCATTCTCCCCGCAAAGTATTAACACAGCCCTCGAGGTTAATGTAGAGCCGTGAATTATTGTAGATGGTGAGCGAACGTTGAGCTGGCACGTAAGCATCATTCTCGTCGACCTTGCGACCTAAACTATGCTGATACAATAGTAGGAAGGTTGTGAAGTTTATGAATGGTTGTGGTATTTGAGCTTCTGCTATCAACGTTCCGTTCACACAGTCTTCCGTTCTGTTAACAGAGAATTTGAAACAGACGATTTTGATTATGGATCGCTTCGGATTAACCATATATTTATATTGTTTTGTTATTTATTTTCAAGGAATATTTAAATATAAATGTTAATGTCAAAAATTGGATTTTTAATTTTCTTTTCAATAATTTGTTTAATAAAAGATTTTGTTATGTTGCATGTATTAAATTATTTATCGATAGGAGTATAAAAACAAAAATGTTACTACTACTTTACTTGTTTCTACTTTCTATTTTGTAGCTTTACGACGTTTCTATTTTTGACAGACTTTTACGTGATTTAAAATTTTCGCTTGAAATACACGAGAATATCGTTAAATAAAATTTGACTGTAGATTAGAGCTTTTTTTTATATAATAATGGGTTATTTGAGTAAATTAAGTGAAACTTAAGAATATTTTTACCAAATTATAAAATTAAATTTTTCCAAAATTTTTATTATTTCGTAAAAAGTAGAACTATTAACATAATATCGAGTGATGTAGAAAATAATCCTATCAATAGGTTGTAAATTTCTTATCAGCGATTAATAATAGAATAAAATAAGTGTTGACTGAAGCAAATGGATGACGACGTGTCCCGTCACAAGTCAACTTACTATTATCGAATTGTCGACGGTACGACGAGATACATGAAAGATTTCCGAAAGGAAAGAAGTGTTTGATGAGTTAAAAGAAATAAGATACCCCAAAAGAATAGTACCAATTGCATATTAAAGTTGTATTATTTTGAGAGAAACATTCTTTAACAATGATTGTGCATGAATACTAGTAGATTTCCATTGTATCTGCTTGCAGATGTAAATCGTTTTTTCAGTTTTAAAAACGTTTGTTTGATCGTTTTCTTTTATCTACTCAGTAACAGCTAAGGTATTTTTCTCACTTAGTTGGCATATAATTTTAAATGTTACGCGTAAATTACATAGGTATTTTATGATTTTATATTCATAGATATTGTTGACTATATGAATTTTTGAGCATGCAATAATATTAAAGAATTGACAATTTTTGAAATATTGTAGCTTAGCGGAAAAAGTCAACTCTTACGACATTATTTTTTGGTCCAGAATCTATAAGCTTTCTGTACATTCCTGTAGCGCCAATATTTTCTTTGAGAGTTCGATGGATTTTTTCTTTTTCTCGCCCTCACTTGTAGCGCTTTGTTCTTTCCTTAGTCAAATCTCCTGCAATTTATTCGATTGCTTTCATTCCTTTTTTTACGTCATAATACATTGATACAGACACGTAACTATTCGAATGATATTTGTAAAACTTTTATATTAATTTACAGTAAAGTTTGAACCTTTAGAATATAATTTATTTTGTTTTTGAGGTCACAATTATTTTTTTTACATGACCGTAATATTTGCACGCAGATTCGAATTAATCTCTTTAACTTATTGAAGTGAATTTGTTTATTGTTTCCTAATTTACTTATTTTATAAGCTTGATAAAAAGGTTGTCGTTCAACAACATTTTATCCGAGCTATTATATCAGACTTTAAATGCTCAAACTTTTTTCATTTGCTGACCTAGATTCATCTCAGATACGTCGAAGAAGAGGGCTTTTTATGTTATACGAATTTCTTCTGCATTATTCGAAACTCGCCTGTAACATTTATTCTTAACTGTCTCCCTTCTCGTCTTTTTTGTTCTCATATTCCACGACGGCGTTTCACGGACGCTTAATCTTTTTCCGTTACATCTCGGCGCGTCGTTGAATCATGTTCGCATATAGTCTTCAAAGCTAAGAGTTGACAAGGTAATAGCTTTCACTGTTAAAATCTTTCGAATTGAAAATTCATCTTTCTTTCTGAATAACGTTGTTGTATCAATTTTATTTTTCTTTCATTTCGCCGCACACGAAAGTAGCTTAGTTTCAGATTCTCCGTCTTACTCTTGCTTAATTAAAGAGCACTATCTCAATAAGATTATGGAAAGATAAACTTTGATCCTCGCATAAATGTTAAATCCATCTTTATATATACTTCTACGTGCTCGTTGATTAAAATTTCATTTATAAAATTTTTATTCTTGAAAATATACATCATTTGAATGAAAAGAACTTCTTTGAAATGCATTTTAAATAAAGAACATTATGTAATAAGATTATAAAATCTTGTTATATTTTTAATTTAAATTATTTTTAAAATTTTATAGTTCAAGATCTGTAACATAGAAAATATTTTAACAATTTTTCATGGTGAAGTTTGAAACCATTTATAATCAAATTTTTCTTGTTATATCTTTAACATTCGTATGTATTGCCATCATCAAACAAATATTATACTGTTTATTAACATCGATGCTTACGCAATCTTTTTATTACATTAGAAATTTGTATGAACACTAAATTAAGAATTTTTTTCCAACTTACCTAAACTTGTCGACAACTTTATTGACAATAATGCAGCTAGCAACAAGAGCATCGTTTCCTTTTTTCCAAACTTCCACTGGTTTATCTAATCTTTCGCCTGGTTTATTTCCATTAGCTTTATTCAAAGCCATAGCTCGATCACACGAGGCAGTGATGATATTGTCGCCTTGCATGAGGAACACATTGATACTTGAGGTACTGATCTTGGGGCAATACCTATCACAATGAAAAGGATTCTTGATACGAGTACATCGTGAGTTAATGCAACGAAAGTTGCCGTTCAACTTCATGTTGTCCTTCTCAGCATCAACTACTGCACCGTCGGGTTTGTCATGGCATAACATTGCTTCGCTTATGTTTGAGCAGTGACCTTTCTTGCACTCAAATAGACCCGTCAAGTGGTCGCATTCGCTGCCGTTGTTGCAATTATATTTTTTTACTGTTGCTAAATTTACCTGTGGACAATTGATTGATTCACATCAATTTTCATATCATCATACGTTTCATGGTTAGAACAAAAATAACTCTTTAATATAAATTTGTCTTTGTTCAATCAGTTGACAATTAAAAAAATACTTTATTCAATATCACTTATCGATATCAATTAATATTGAGTAAGAAATATTTGCTATAACATCGACGAACCAGGTTGTCAATCAATAACTGAGTAAACATTTCAAAATAAAGTAACTACGATTGTTGATAAAAACTTGTAGTAATAGTCATATATAAGTAAGATGCAGTACGAGTTCATAAAAAAAGTTTTTTTTTTCGTGAAATGAGGCTGGATAAAAAACGATGTAATGTTAGTAAAAATAAACGTAAACGTACAGCACTCTGATAAAAAAATGTTTTCAGATCTTGTCAGTCTCTATTACAGTAGATAAAACCAGTGTATGGTCAGCCACCGGAAAAAATTAAACTTACGATAAAAAGTAGATAATCTTTTGAAGTGTCAGATATGCGATATATCCACAGTACATAAGTAAAATTTGGAAAAATAAGTGGATGTTTGAATGTCTCATTTCTGAATAAAAGATAATTTGCTTAAATTTCATTACGACTGCACTTTCGGAAAGTGCTTGAATAAATGCTTACGCTAAAGATATGGTGAAAATAAGTGCGGTAGTTTTCAATTACTTGCGAAGCTGTTGAAACTGAGGATATTAATCAAGTTTCAAAAAGAAATTCTTAATTGAACTTTTACAGCGTGGTTTCGTCTCTGAAGATCTAGATAAGCTTGATTTTATCACAAAACTTTCAAGACATAACTTTTACGTTTTTTTTTTTCACAAAGTCATAAATTAAATACAACACAAGTAGATGAATTATAAGGGAATAATGATTAACTTACTAAAGTAACAAAGAGAGAATCAAACTTAACCAGAAAATAAATTAACTTTGTGATTTGGATTGTAAGTGACAAAAAAATTTGACTTTCTTGACGAAAGCTCACTTTGAATTCTTTCGCGTTATCGAAAGAATACCAATCACATTATGTTAATGTTGTTTACATTCTCAGAATTTTTTTTCTTTTCTTTATTTTCTCTCTTACGCATTTCGTGTGCACTTCGAAGCAATCCCTCCTTTAATAAAACTGATAGCTAGAACAACCGTTTTGTTTCAGCGCATATTACGAGTAACGCTCCTATTTGATGATCAAATTGACTGATAATTTTTACAGTACAGTGTTGAATCGTATCTATTCTATAGAGTGATAAATATTTGATAAGTGAATTTCCGTGAAAATGATATAATTCGTTTTCGAATGCATACGATGTTGATCTCTTTCAACGACAATGTACTGATAGATATGTATCTCAGATGACACATAAATCCATTTGAGTGAAAAACCTTTTGTGCGACAAATCAGGTTGTTGCGACATGCTTGGATTTCTTTCGAAGAGGAATTCAATCAGAACGAGAAAGAATTTTCATTGCAAGTGCAATACGTGACTCACCATAGGACATGCAATACTAGCAGTTCTACTGCAATTCTCAAATACGAGGTCAGTGCCGTTGCGCCGTACCGTTGCGTGGATCTGCGGGCAAAAGCCTGAAGTCTTCGTCAAACACCACTCACCACAACTTGCCCATGAGCAAGTATTTACCATTGTTGTATTAACGGTTTGGCACATCACTGGTGCTGTCTCGATTCCGGCGTGAAAGGCTCTAAAATTTTAAAAGCATTTCTTGATTATTTTTCCAAATATTCTTTTCTGTTGGTACTTTCATCACGTAATGCTGCCTTTTTCTGGTTACGAGGGCCATTTTTCATCATTGAGAGTGCATATTTACGAAATGCACAAACTTTTATGCAATTGCTCAGGTATACACCTCAAAACATTTTTCAAAAACAATCAATTAAAGATTTTTTATCTAACTGAATCAGAAGTTGCGTTTGAATGGTAATATTATTGACGACTCGATTGAAATAAAAGAAAGTCAGACTACATTTCCAAACTAAAACTACTCCATAGCTGTTAAATTTCAATACCATTAATATTCATAGCTGTACAGACGAAAATTCTCACGAAATTCGGTTGTCTTTTTTATGTATAAAAGTTAACTCTTGAAAATTACATATGGAGAGAGTATTGACTGGCATTGGCATGGGGGAGGGGGTGAGAGGGCAAGAGGGGGGGGGGGAGATGCCGTGGATGTAGCTAAGCAGAATCAACTTGAGTCGGTTCAGGATATTACATTACGGTAGTTGGTGCGAAATTAGGCATTTGTTTTGTTCGTGAGGTTAATTTCGGGATATGCAATTGATATCGCATATATTTCCACGTAAATAACTGTAGTGAACATTAAAGTGATTTAGTTGTATTGACGCCCGGCACACCTAAATAATTAAGTTGGCTGATCTTTTTAAAAAGCTTCAAAGAGAATGCAAATGGAAATGCTGAATTTCAACGTTCCACTTGAGATTTTCATTAACTTCGTATTTGATTCTCTTAAATATTTAAAAAAATGTTCTCTTTTTTGATGGATCTTTGATGGTTACTAGTTTCATAGGATAGTATATGTGTACCATCAAGTTTGAGTGGTTTCCATCAGTATGACAAATGGTTTCTTAACGTCGACAATTATGATTTATCACATCACGGTTGATGATGCCGGTAATGAGAGAAATCACATTTGCATATAAATGAAAGCTACGCGTAAACAAGTTTACTCATACAGCATAATAATCCATTAGCATAAATTTGAAATTGCTTGCAACTTAATCTATCAACATAATTCCATCTTAACTCACCTATGCGAAGGCATGTAGATAGCGACGCTTAGATAGACAAGTGCTACACAACTGATGACAATAGTAAACTGACATACGCATATGCTGCCACAGAGCTTGCGATCTTGTTCGGCTATCGAGCGTGGTTTATATTTGCGACCCATAGCTTGTCGTATTTTAATTACATCATTTCATCATATACTCGCATCGGTGTTCTGCGTTGATGTTTGAAAAGTAATGTGAACAAATGCAATTCTGATGCGTTCTATTCTCCAATCTTCAGTGATCACGATCTGTGAAGTGGAGGAAAATATTTGCTCATCAGACATACAGTCGTTTTTTTGTTTGAATATCTTATTGATCTTTGCTAGCAGGCCTATTTTTGGTGGGTATAGCTCAACAGAAATCGGATTGGACACGCAATTTTGTCAAGATTGATTTACGCTCATTCCGTTTACTTAATTACTGTTTTATTAGAGCTTTCAGCTTAGTTATTTAATCGAGTAAAACTCACGTTATTCAAGTGAATGAACACGAAATGAATCATTACGACGATCATACGCCTGACTAGTTCTATTTCGGTTTACTTGCGTTACCTTTATTGTGTGATATTTCCGTATTTATACTTTTCGTTCTTAATAAAACTTATTCAACTTCATACATCACGCATAAAGTTGTAAATAACTTGTCGCAAGAATATTTCTGACGTTACTGCATCAAAGTTCGAAACAATTTCCATTCTCCTCCGAACTTGAGTTCATCGACAAGAGTGGAAACAAGTTTCGCGCGTGGAATGAATACTTTGTAATTTTATTTAAACCAACCCGTCGAATAATTCTGTGCTTTGCTTAGTGAATTTATGTGCACGCATTATTGAAGTTTTCTTAATGCACTTTCAGCACATACGGCACGTTCTTAAAAGACATTATCAATCTGACTGAAGGCCAAGCTAATTTACTACCCATATGACTAGGCTTAATCCCCACCCTCTGAGTCTTTTAGCGAGAAATGCAAATCATCGACTTTAAATTAATTGGCTTTGCGTTGCTTGCTTTGATTAAAGCCTCAAGCTTGGAAGTCTTTTACGGCTTCGATTACAGACCACTGTAGACAATTAATTTTCGCTTGTGGCGAATATTTGATTTGAAATAAGGATTGCGGCCTGGCTTTATTGATTCTATCATGATTGATGCCCTGTTAGAGATACTTTCATAGAAGAAAGACTTTTGGAAATTCAAGTTAAAACGAAATGATAAACTTTTCTTCGTAAATATTTTCGTCACGAACACACGAATAAATTTTCGGTACAAAGTTACGTTACGAAGCGTAGAGACTGCTTTTTTCCGCGAGTTTGAGTAAAATATTTTTCGTTTATAATCACAAACGTTGCGCCATGATAAAAATCCGAACACGTTATCTCTCTACTGTAAAACATGAACATAAACACCGAACAAAAGGAAAAGCTAAAATAAAAACTCAAACACAGTAAAGCATAATCATAAACTCATGACACCTCACACGCGCGCACAAGTCTTTATTATCATATTTTTCGTAATTTGATCACTCGTCGACAGAAACGTAAAAGTATGAGCAACACTAACACACACCTCAGTAATAATTAATGGATTCGTCGCTCGCTAGAAACGGGAAATAAGGTTAGAGGATAAGAAAGCAAAAAATCTACGTCAGCATCGTAAACAGAGATGAGCTGAGCACTCGTTGCCGTCCATGTTGTGCGCGAACTGGCGGCGAGTTGTCGACTGGCAGTAACGTTTTGAAAACACCCGGCGTGACCCCGAGGCACACTGCGGCCAGGGCGGGGAAGTGCGTACTGGGGATCGGCGCACGCGCTTAAACTTGCATAGATATCATCCTTATTTCTCTTCCTTCCTCACACGCTTGTGCGAGAAATTCTTTGTCAGGACACGCAACGAAATATGCAAAGGGGTGGATTGTTTTTCCGTAAGATCAGTAAGTTAAGTCATTGAAATGTTGGTTAGCTTTGCCGGACTTCAACGAGATTCCGTTCTTACTTTTTTTTATTGTTGTGGAATAATTACTCGATGAAAGTGTAGTAATAACAGCTTCAGTTGTAACGCACCAAAGTTTGCTCTTTGTTTGCGATGAAAGCGCGCACGACAAAGTTGCTCTGTGGCAGGCATCCGATTTTAATTATAATCAGAATAAAAATAATTCCAAGATACATTGTCAATAATAATATAGCTCATACACGCGCGCTCAGCTCAATTTTCGATTAGCTTACATTTTGTTTTTGTACAGAAGCCGCAAAGCAATGTAACTTTGTGCAACGTCATTACAGTGATTCGACCGAGCGCCTGCTATTGATGGATTACCGAGAGCTCGTATAAGCATGTATATACACACACAGCAAGTGAATGTGAACTGGAATGTGATGATACTGTGTGTGCCACGATGCTAAAGTCGATTGCGAAGAGAGTTTGTCGTACTTTACATTCATTCGTTCTTTGTCTACTATTTTTGAAGATAAGTCTTTACACTAGACATACTTTTCTTTGTGTAATCAGAAACAAAAAAACTATACTTAGTCATATAACCTACTGCTAACCAATACAATAACAAACGTTGTATGGATATGAACTACTTCTCAAAAGTAATTATGTTAGATAAGTGCGTATATATGTAGACACGTAATCATGTCGAAAATTCTCGATCTAATAGAGCGAGGGAGAAAAGAGAGGGAGAGAGAGAGAGAGAGGAGAGAGAGAGAGAGAGAGAGAGAGGAGAGAGAGAGAGAGACGACGACCTTAACGATCAAAACCTTCATGCACCCTTTGCAAGCTCTACATTTAAATATTAAAACTGGTAATATATCGCTTTACATGATGCTACGTGTAAATTATTAACGAGATCTTGTTTCACACGTGGCTTCGAATGCTCTATTTTTTTATTTTAGACACCCCTAGTTTTCTCTGATTCGACGGTATACGATGATGATTTGAAATATAAATTTACAACTAATATATTCCGATTTGTGTCACGTAATATAAAATATCAACTATAACCGTTCCTACATTCGCTTCCTTTTGCAAAATAAAAACACTTAGTACTACTATTAAATCATCTAACAAATTTTGTCGATAATTTCCCGATCTCATAACTACGAACACACAAAGGCGATTGCCAGGGAGTAAGTTGCGAAGTGCAGACGTTAAAAAATTCGTATAATCTAGCTTTTTGTATGTGAGGAGAGCAGGAGGAAGGTCAACTATTAGCGCACTTCGGGTTAGGGACGCGTGGTGGCGCCAATAGGTTGGCGCGTGAGTTTACCAGGTCAAGACCTACTTCTGTCTTTTGCTTGTTGGTATCTTCCTTTTTATTTATTTTTATGTAGATGTTATACCTTCGAGATCATATTTTTGAAGCATGTATGATTGATGATGATAAGCAGAAATGATAGTGATATTTGCAAAAGAGTTTTGATGGGTGAGTGATGGTTTAAATATGACGTCTTTAGTATGTGATTTCCACTAGAATTCAACAGTATATATAAAATGAATTAAAAACAATGAAATAAGGGGTTTAAATATAGCAGAGAAATCAAATAATACATTATTATTGAACAAATAAAATCTAATTAACCAAATATATCTTTTATATTTTAATCTTTGTTTAGTTTTAACATCTGATCTAAACTTACTGTTAAAGTTCTAAATAAAATATAAATTATCAAATCTTCCAGTAACGTGAAATAATTATATTTGAATCTCTTTATTGATTTGAAGCGGTAAACATTAAAAAGATATTAATAAATTATAAGTCGCTATTTATTTTAATTAAACTTTTTTCGTACAAAAGATACTTAATTTATTGTAATATAATATGATTCTTAATAATGATTAAATTAATTTAAAAATTAAATATTGCCATATCAGTATCAAACGAGAGACATGTTTTTCAAAAAACCATGGTTTAGTAATTTTTCACGATTGGTAATGGCACAAAATACTTATTAGTTTGCAGTTTCAACGTAATTTTTGAATCTACAATTTGCATCTATCATTAGCTCAATCGATATACGGTATCAGTATACCTTATTTTATAATTATTATATATCATGGATTATCTTCATAATTCGTTCGTTTCTTACATACTGTAACTCAATTCATTCTGTTAAATATAGCGATACAATTTAAAAATTAGACCAGCACTGCTGTATACGTTATCTTTATGTTTCTTTAACTATTTATTATATTTTCTACTGTATTCGCAAAAAATACATAATCCCTTTGTTTCAAAATACAAGATTCATTAATTATGTAGATTTATAAATTTATGTTTTCAATAATGTTTTCTTCTTTGCATACATTTCATATTATCTTCATTTATTATTCGTTATAGAGTTTTACAATCAGGTAACTTTTACTATGTCAGTTTTTAGTACTGCATCATTATTACATATGAAATTATATCGAATATTTTAGTCATTATGATGCATCGTTGAAAATTGTTAATCCTTCCAATTATAATTTTTTAAGCGACCTTCTATTGCTAAAAATTTGATTAAAATTAGGATTAAAATTTAGATATAAAGTCCATATTATAATCCGACCAATTATTTTTGGTCTGAAATGTATTCACAACGAAATACGTCCTGAATCGGGATAGAATGTTCAGCAATAAGCTGCATTTTCCCATGTCAATTCTTATATTATTCACAGCAAATGAGCAGCGATTCTCGATTCATCGAGTTTTCATCCAAATCAAAGCAGATATTCAACCAAATAGATTAGTTTTGTCACTATTTCAATCTTCATTTAACTATCTACTAATACATCTCACCAATAACATCGCGTAAAATCTAAACCACGGCGCCAGCGCGGCGGCCACGTACAAAAATCGTTAATATAACAATGTCGTCAGTGTGGTGACCATAATATACCGTTAATAATATTCACAGGCGAAACTTAACCTAACAATATCTTAAAACGTAAATATTCATAATATGAATATCTTTACAATGGCAAACTTACATCTCCAGTTTCACATTGCAAAAGTCATTATCAATTCAACAACATCGAACTAGAGATCTAATTTTGCAATTTTTCTTTCACATAAATTCTTCTTTTGCCACCGTTTCTGGACAGGATTGTTTTAAACAGCAATGAGCTTGTTTTAACGTTGAATTATGCCTTTAGTCAGGCATTCATTCACACGCACGCACGCACGCACGCACGCACGCACACACGCGTACATGTGTATAATATGTATCTATTTGTATATATATGTATATATATATATTTTTTTTTTGGTAGCTTGAACGTGGCTCTAGATATTATTTCGAGATAAATCGTAAATTTCTATGTATGTATACTCTCCATACTTATCATAGCTCATATTTGAGAAGGCGCTGTTATATTGTTATCGTATTCAATCGCACAAACTTCTAACACTTCGCTTTGAACTTATATTTAATATTATACTGAAAGATGATCAAGTTCTGAATCGGCTGTTAGATACATTTTATTAGAGATTCTTTTAAGACATTGCAAGAATAGTTTGTTGAATAAAAATTTATGATGTTAGTTTGAAGTCAATGGAAAGTTATTTTTGAAAAACTGTTGACAATACGATGAACTGACATCATATCATCAGACGTTATTTTAGTATTTTAATATTATGAAAAATATTCGCAAAAAGATTAAAGCTAATTATATAAATAACGTTGAAATATGTACATTCTTGGAAATAATACTTAATTGTGCTTGTCCTCAAAGTGAATTATTAGCTATAGGGTATTATTGCAGTTTTTGATTTTCGTCAATTATAAACTATGATTGCCGTGAGCTGACTTTGAGAAAACTATAAAAAGGGAAACGTCTCTTCAAAATAAGACAATATTCAAAATCCGTTTATGTGAATATAAGTTTTTCAGAACGAAGTTATCTGATGTATCTGATTACAAATCGCACATTTCACAACATGAAATAAGAAGATATCCAAATTCGTTGTCTCTCTTATATATGTTTATTTATCTCTCCACAATTGAAGTCTTCAATAGTAAAAGTCTGTCCTCTCAACGATGATCGGTCCATCTAGGGCATCACTCCCGTCCAGGGGGGTGAGCCCGAGGCAATAGTCAGTACTCCTCCTCGAAGTCTTCTTCCACTTCATCTTGCTCAAAGTCCTCCTCGCCAAGGATACTGCAAACGAGAGCCGTGATCACTACGCGGCCGCTTTATAATTCACTTTTCTTTTTGTTTTTGATCATTGTAGAATTTCGGCGTTATAACATACTTGAAAATTATTTAAGGGCATATGTCACGAAGAAACATTTGCTCATAAAATATAAATTTAATGTCCAGGATATATTTTGCAAATAAATACATCTAAATAAAACCAAGCATAATTAATTTTTTTCAATATTTTCAAATAAACTACAGTTCAAACAAATAAAAATAATTTCACAAATAAATCTTAGAATAAAAATTACATGCGATCGTTGATCATGAAGTTTGAAATCATAACCTGATGGAAAAAATTATATTCAATTGTATAACCAAGAATTCCTTGAAAACTCCTTTGTTTTTTTCTAATAGAAATGATGTTCATTAGAATTTTGACCGGAATTATAATAATTTGCAACAGTATACTTTCAATAAAAATTTTATTAACAAACTTTATGTGGATTGAAAACAGAAATTTTTCATCATTCACTTATTTATTATGCCAATGTCATTAAACTAACGGTAACTTATTTCACTCCATAACAATCTATTTATCGAACCAAACGTTTTATCGCAAAAAGATTTTTTTGGAATGAATCATCAAAAATGCTTTTAGAAAAAAAAATTTACTAAACGAATAACTATGAGACTTCCAAAATAATCTATATCACTGTTTTTGGTGACGGAAATTAAAAAATTAAATGAAATCTTAACTAACTGTTCAAGGCACTGCATACAAACACGCTACTTACTCTTCCTTCCTATCGTATTCATCAATGAGACCTCTTTTAGTACCGCCGCAGGTCTTATTAACCGGTGGACAATACCAGTAGCAGAGCATCGCCAGTGGTAAAATGAATAGCAGTACTGGAATTGTCAAAGCCAAAATCAAATTTCTTAGGTTATCGTCCCAGGAATACCTGTAGCAATAAAGTGAAATATTAAACAAAATTAATTCCATTTCAGGACTACAAACAATAACTAACTTTGAAACCACAGTCTCCGGATAAGTTCTGCTGTAGTAGCAAGGGAAAACCTTTCCGGGAGTCATATCGCCATACTTCCGAGCAAACTGTGAACAGATGACTCCTGTATCGGGATAACCGCAGCCTTCCGCATTCACGTAAAACTTTGTCTCGACGACATCCCACGGCACGCTACCCGTTGGTTTCGATACAAATTCTTCATACGTCAGTTTGGTATAGTTAACGCGAATCTGATGGCAACTTGTCACCGCAGCAGTGCAACCTGGAATCAAAGTTTTGATTAGAATCTCGCACGGGTTATTCCAATTATGAGAATCGGTTTTAAAGAAAGAAAGAAGGTCTAACTTTTTTTTAATTTGAACAATCAACACTTACCCTCTCTACAACTAGCCCATGAGCAATTCTTCAATCCCTCAGCGAGTACGTGACTGGTGGTAGCGCATGCGACTGGCTTAGGTGAGAAATCTGCTAAAATGGTGGAAATTGCCGGTTCAACTATAAACGGTACAGCAAAAAGGAAGGCGAAAACAGCGAGTATGGACGTTGTTCCAAGACACAGCGAAGTATAGAATTTGGCTTTCTCCATGAGACTCTGCACTTCAGCTTTTGGCAGGACACCAGCCAAAACACCACCTTCCCCGCCTCCTTCGCCACCTTTACACGTACTTGCTTGACTGCCAAGTCCGCTGGCTAAACTGGACTTTCGTCGACTACTCGCGCGATCATCTTCGAGTTCGTCATCAGCCATGATCATGGTCGACTCGTCTGAATCAATGGCCGTACTACCGTAGCGTAGTGCACGGTAGAAATGCCTCTTCGTCGAGGCCACCGTCCGCCCACGAATCGTACCGAGTTGCTGTCTACCCGTTTTGACGGTTTTTTCTTCTATAGTTTCGTGCTTTTCTGTGCGGAGGATTCTCTTGTTTTAGGTTTCGATTTCTCAGATTCTTCGAGCCTGTTTAGCGTCACGAATTAATCATCTGTCAGTATGTTATAACTTTTATTACCTTAATCTAACTAAAGTTTCAAATTGTTTCTATCCAGCTAACTAGTAAGTGTTCATGAGAATTCCTTTTCTAATAACAAGCTGTTTGATATCTTTGTTGCGTGTTTCGTGCGTTTCTTTCGTTCGTAAGACATCACAATAAGGTTTTTATAGACTGGTGCAAGATTCAAATTGTGCAGGCAGTGAGACTTGGGAAATCTCTCTTCCACGGCATTGATTTTTTTACGAGCCCGCGCGCTTTTATTTATTTGGTTTATTTATTTCTGCGTCTTTGTTGTATGCCTATGTGATGAGAAGAATTTGAATCACGCGTCCCCCCCATTCCTCTCTAATGTTCTATTAGTGCCCAAGCAGGGAGAATATCGACTGTTCAGCCGGGCTCTCCTCCTGTAGGAGGGGAATGCCTGTAAAATAAAGAAAGAATAAAGCTTTTTTAGTTAGGTACATATTTGAGCAGTCAATGATGTCGATATCTTTGTTTTTACAGCTTGCTAAATTATATATAATTTGATTATATTTGTATAAAAAAATTATTCATTTATTATAAGCTCAAATATTTTTGCTGTTAGTTTATAACTTTTTAAGTTACACACAAAAAATTAAAATTTAGTTTTATCACTTTAAACTAAAATAAGCAAAAGAAATTCCTGAAAAACGACGTAAAATATAAATTGGAGATAAAATTAGATTAATAATCGTAAAGAAGTGATTGGATTTTACATTGAAAAGACAAATACCATGATTAATCAAAAATTCATTTTATTCAATAATACAGAATATTTTTAATTTTATTTCCAAATTATTTGCGATAGCAATAATTATTCTACTAAGAGTGTAAATAGCAAAAATTCGTAAGAGGAAACTTTTGATCATTCATCTTCGTCACTATTAATTTACAAAATATTCTGAACGCTTGAGAAAGCGACTAGTTGGAAACCTTACTAACGACAACATTGAGCTTTCGTGCTTCACTTGTTAAGCTTTAATTTTTAAGGCATGTGTCTTATACTTTTATCCGATGTCTAATATATTCGGTTACATTATTTACATTCTAGAAGTAATGCTGTGTGAGCTGCTAAAGCTTGAACACTTGCTGTTTTTTATATCATATAAAAACACAAAAAAATCGTTATCTATTTCCTAAATCTATTCTAGTGTTTCAATATTTATATTTTTATGATTATTATTATTTAACGAGTATAACTATAGGTCTAGAAATAGACTAGAGACATACATAATATCGACAACATTTTATACGTTGGCTTGGAATTATCCAGAATTGCATTAAACATATCGTACAAATTTGAACAGTTTTCAGTAATATGAACATTAACAACAACTAAGAAATAATCAAGCAGCACACACAGATTACTTCTTCATAAAAATTTTACAGATTTTTTTGTTTAAATCACAGATTTCGTAATTTGGTCTCCCAAGAGCGTCATATCCAAGCTTACACAGAGATGTGATAACGGACAGTATAGGCCATGAATAAAAAATCTTCTACTTAATCTCTCTCACATAAGCTATCATCGAAAAAGAGACGGAATGAGAAAGAAGATTGGCAGCAGCACGTAAATAATTAAACGCGTTTAGAAAGAGAGGTTATATAATTAAGACAATGTCGGCAAGCAGGATCCCGGCATTACCGATCAGACGTCACCCGATCGTTTGTCGAGAAATGCAGTGGTAGCGGTAGTGTAGAGTAGTTTCAGATATGTGATGGTCTTACGTGATGGATCTCAGAGCGTTATGGCGGCATCGCCCCCACCGGCATCGCCAGTGAAATTACCCGAAGCGCTCTTCTCGAGTGTCAGCGATACGAGGGCAGAACCAGCTGTGCCTTTGAACCTCATTCTTGAGTCATCGCCAACAACAACGGTTCTTTGGCAGAGGATGAGCGTCAAACAACTGACGATAAATAGTACGCTGGGTAAGACGGATGCTATGACAAACTCCCGATAGGTTGATTGCAAATCGAAGCGTGAGACCACGATGCTTGGCTTGTTCTCGGAGTAGTAGCACGGGAAGCGAGCTCTCGCATTGTGATCGGAGCCATCTCTTCCATATTCCGCGAGAAAAAATTTGCACTCGTCACGAAGTGTATTAACGCAGCCTTCGAGATTGATCAGCAATCGGCTCTCATTGGCGATGATCAGATCTTGTTCTGGTGGTAGAATTTTACGCGTCTCGTCCAACGGTTTTGTCGCGAAGATATTTAAGTATGACAAGTACGTGAAATTAGTCAAATCCGATAACATGTCCTTCTGCAGCGTGGAACCATTGATACAATCTACCGCTTCAACACCTGAACTGGTATTAAAAATTCCATAACAAGAAGCCATTAGAATATCATTCCTCTTCTGATTCCATATTTCTTTTTCAGTCTCTGCTTCGAGGGCACTTTCGCAAGAAGTCAAATAAACCTTATCACCACTGAGTAGGATGACGTTCTTATTTCTCGTTGGAATATCGACACAACGACGATCACAATTATAAGGTGTACGTATTTTGGAACAAGTCCCTCTGTTACAACTAAATAACCCGTCTATATCTATACACGTGATTTTGCCACGCCTACCAGAACACTTGAGCGGCGGATCGGTGTCGTGAAACATGCACTCGAATGCATCAGTTATGTTAATGCAAACACCCGTTGTACAATTAAAAGTACCAGTGAGGTTACGGCACTCATCGGCTATGCACTTGGATTTCTTTGCATTCTCCTGGTCGATACCGTAGCAAGTTTTATTTGTAGTGTTGGTACAGTTTGCCAAACGAATGGAGGAGCCGTTGTTACGTAGGTTCACGTGAATCTGAACGCAAGGTCCTGAGGTTTTAGACAAGCACCATTCGCCACAACTACCCCAATCACAATTGTCAGCGTTGGCTGCACGGACAGTTGTGCACATGGCTGGTACCTCACTTATACCGGACGCAAAGGCTCTCGTACTTGGCATATAGATGGCCACGGTGAGGTAGACAAGAGCTACAGACGACAGTACCGCCGTCATTTGGCAGAGACATATCGTACCGCAGATTTTGGTGTCTTGAGGTGGTACAACGAGATCTTCTTCTGGCATTGGCTTACCCATTCTCGCTTTCCAGTTTCCTCCGCGTAATCACTGAACAAACGAGATTCACGTTTGAATAATGATGAAACTTTCAGAGCTGACAGAAGAACGGCATGGTGATTGTAGAGCAGCACACTCGTCGTCGTCGGGGTGCACTGCGGCCTGTCGTTTCTGTATGATGGCGCGCAGACGAGTGCGCGCAGCCAGATCGATGTGGCTAGCTACGAGTCTGCGCGCTCAAGTCTCCTGCCGCAGCAGTGACGTCAAAGAGTCGTGTGACTTTTGCTTGCGTATTTGTGTGGACGTATCCACGTGAGAGCAACTGAACAAACTACCTATGCAACTTAGTTCTTCTTTTCTGTACTCGATTGGATGAGCGTACTTTACAATTTGATCATTGCTATTTTTTCGTACTTTATGTTCACGGTTTAACAATGTCAGGTGCACACTTAGGATATGTGATCGAGAGTAGAGAATGAACGATTCATACAATATGGAAGGAGATGCGGTGCCAGCTTGTAACAATGCTTCGGCATTGCGTGTTAGCTAAGGTTTTTTTTATTGAAGTGTAGAAACCTGATTGCACAGATTTTCCAAATTTACGGCTTTCATTCAGCTGGTATAGATATTTTTGATATTGCGTATGTATTTTTATATTTGCTTTTGGAATAAATATTATTACATTTCTAAACGTGAGTACTGTTATAACAAGCATATTAATAACAGCTTTTTATAAGAAATTAATAACGATATACGAGCACACGTATACTCTACGAATGTAGGAAATAGTTCCTATACTGCATGGGTTTTCATAAATCAAAGAAAAGCATCACATATAAAGTAAGAGTGAATGCGAATATAGCATACAGCAATATCGTCCCCCAATGGAATATCGTAGCTATAAACAATTGAATTTCCGGCGTGAGCACATGTGGTTTGAATGATGCTGATATTGTTGGCGAGTGCTGTAGAGTGGCTTGCGCTTATACGAACTGTCTCGCACTCAAGGGACGATGATGTTCCATTAGTTAAAGGATGCCGCGTCGCTCGGATAATAAGATCAACGCTCGAATGTAAACGTCACATAGCCACGATATTATAGAATAATATTTTCCTTTGTGCATACCAAACGTATCCAATGCTTTTTCATAATATTATTAACTTGCTATTCTGGTGATAAGTTAATGGATTAAAATAATGTTTATGCATTTTATAGCTTGCAAGTATTAGTGTATTAATAGCAAGGAAAAATAATTTATATAAAATTTTAAATATTACTATATGTACTGAACGCTATGGCATATTACTTATGAGACGTTAACCTTAGGCTTAGGACTATGTATGTTAACCGATTTATTACTGAGGGAATAACCGAACTATATAAATATAGTAATCAAAATGAAACACACGTTTAACAATAATTTCCTCTCGTTGAACTTATTACCGATACTTGCTCTAAAAGTTAGTTTGACGATCGATAAAAATCGAATTCCCAAGTTTCACTACAAACAGAATTTGTGAAATATTCGTTTAACCATATTATGATTTTGGTCTGATAAAATTATATCAAAATTATTATTTTTTCATTAAAAATACGTATATGTCAAACGTATAAGAATCATTAAAAAAACTTGTAACAGAAACATTATCTTTCGAAATTGAATCAATTAAAGAAGTTGGTGACCAATTAATGAACATTCAGCAAAGCACAATGAGCTTGCGCTTTGAAACTCGAATTGGTCGCGTGCGTATCGATTGCCCATAATCGTCGGCTCTGCGTGGATTCTTTTTCCTTTTGGCCTCATTTCTCACCCTCGAGGCGCTTGAAATATTCAGCATAAGTGTGTGTATTCATTCGTTTGCTTTTTCTCGTTCTTTGATTACATTTGGGAGCCTGGTAGTTACTGCTTTCGATTGTAACTGCAATTTTTCGGCTTCAATCCGAGCATAGGATACACAAGTTCTTGCACGTACTTTGTAACTAGATTATTTTATTAAGAAAATACAGAATGAAGATTGTGTTGTAGATATAAACTAATTTTATTGTAATCATTTCAGAATGTTTTGCTCGCGTTGTTAAATCAGTTAATGACATTAATTTCATTTCACTTTGATTTAGTATACTTTAATAGATACTGAAATTTGGATATTTGTATAAGAGAATTTCGTTTATTTAATTTAAAAATCTTATATTCATTGGTGTTTTTATCACTGTAATATCCAAATTATCAATTGTCAATATCATTATTGAAAGCATTATTTTAGTGGACTGATCACACTGTTTACGATCATCGTAAATTATGATCTTACTGATTTTCCACTAATGATTTTTAAACAAAATGACGTAATATTAAAAAAGGTTCCAACTAAACTTTTACATTATAAAACAAGAAATTCAATTAAATCAGCCAACGGAAATGGTTAAATTTTTACTAAAAAACTTCTAGCAAAAACGAACTTCAAATGAGCATCAGTAAACATAAAATACTTTTTATAGTAAGAAAAAAGAAAAAAGAAATATAGGGCTTTCGAAGCAGCTACACAGATGATGTTGGCAATAGACTTCCTTCTAAGAAATACACAAACTTCGACAATTCGGTAGAAAGAATATCTCTTTCGTGCAGTCGTACATTTTCGTCCTATTTCGTTCTTTGGTCATTTCGACAAGAATAAAATAATATTATGCTAGGCATTTCATTATTTTTATTAAAACTTTATTATAGGTAGTTATAGTAGTTAAACACAATCCACTCACATATCGCACAAAGTGTCTTTTTATTCTGTTCACCGGTCGGCACATGAGGCCGTTTCATTAACACATGTGTCAGTGGTCTCGTTTCTCGTGGAATCGAGCTATGCTTTTGTTTCTGCCGAACGCTATTAACCCTCTCGAACACTGCGTCGCTACTTGTTTGTAGCCGTCTAAAAGCAATTAATTTACCGGTCGTTTATTTGCAATTAAACTCGTGTTGATGTTTGATTTTCATGCGTAATGAAAGTAGAGCTTTGGCAATATCATTGCGAAATAGTTATTTTATTTTGACATAAACATAAATAATCTGATTTAATTGTGACAAAAGTAATATCAAATTTACAATGACGATTATAATAAATTTTGTCAATTGCCTTCAATCTTGTTGTGAATATGAATTCAGTTTCAATTATTTTACAAGTTTCTTCAAAAACTCGGTTTGTTTCTTACGTAAAATGAAATTATTCGACCTTCACGTCCTCTATGCTAAGTTGACTAGACGTATGCATATAATTATAGTGCAAAAGAAATCAACTAAGAGCTCGTAATGCGTACGCACAAAGCACTAACATATTATCACTAAAATTCACGAATTCATTGACACGTTATTCGTTAACGACATTAAAATAACAGGCGATTGATTACACGCTTAAATAATCCTTCACACTCGATTTATTAGGATGTTGGCGTGTGTACGCAGCAAGTAGTTTTTCGTTACACTTCGACACTCCTCGTCACGAGAAATCTCATTGCCCCATTCATTTTCCCTCTCTCACTATTCGATTTGACCAAGTAGTTTTATGTAAGCTATTTATAGAAATAGATTGGGTGGCTTGCTTTGATAACTTTGACCGGGTGAATGAACTGCGATTGCGGCCGACTACTGCGGAGTTCGATGTTATTATATAAGTAAATGTATAGAATCGAACTTTTGGCACGGAGTCGGCAAACTACTTTTTTTCTTTAACAATATGTAATAGTGTGTAATCGTGAAAGAATTTGGACTGCTTATATTCAGTTTTAGACTTTATTATTCTTAGTTCAACGGTATTAGCATACTTTGATGGTGATGACTTTTCATTTGTTAAACTCGTCACACGTTCTTCTCTTTGCGTAATTATATCGACGAATTACGATGAAAACACTTGGTATGGCTTCATATTATATTACCCGCGTGAACGTTTTATGTATTGTTTTGCGTTGATGCGCCCTCAAGCGATTGTTTGTTTTAAATTCATTAATACGAAGTATATTTTTTTGTTAATGACTTTTCTTTTGTAACTGTTGAAGTCACGTTTCAATGCTTCATTCTTAAATTTTAAGATAGAAGAAACGTTCATTCTCAAATAATTCTATGAAAATCCAAAATATAATTTTAGGAAATTTATATTTTTCGTGCAAATAGTGAAGAAAATGATTAAATACATCATACAGTGTCAAGATTTCTAGCACGTTAAAAATAAATTTTTAAGAATTCCCGACAAAAATGAGATAACAATAAAAATTGAGACTATTGGACTACGAAAAATTATTTATCAATATTCGACCCCCCAAAAAAGCTAAGAAAGTAACAATTTTCCACTAACCCGCAACAACAAGACAAGCAGCTCATTCAACTTCAGGCACACGTGTCAACTCACCACCAAAAGAATTTTATATTTTCTCTGTCGATGTGTGTAGCTTTATCCTTCGGCAGCTACAGAAACCACACAATTTGTTCTGCTAACAAACGAGAGTAGAAAAAAAGTTAACTGAGCGATGTAGAATGAAGGCAGCAATGTGAGCAAGGGTGTGCGAGGGCTCGTAAGACTGCAGTGCGCGCTACACACAACAAATATGGCTGGCTTTAGCTCTCTTTCTCTGTGGCGCGGGACTAACGCTAGCTCCCCCTCGGGGTTGCCGTATCGCACCAGAAAATCAATAGGAGAATAGAGTAACTACATGGGTAACGAGCAACAGAGAGTGGGAGGATAAGGATAGATGTCTGTCAGCGATATCTAGATATATAGGACACTAACCAGTGGATTCAACCTTTACTATCTCGTATTACTCTTACAATAATTTGAAGCTCTATAGACAACGAGCATTCCTTTTTTGCAATGCAAACCTCACTCAATAGAATTAACATTTGTATAAGAACTAAACGCGAAGATATTCTAGCACTTGTCTTTATTTGTTATTCTATTAAACCGTACAGGACTGGAGATATAGTTACTTTGTCTAGCTTGCTGCAGTCTATAAATAGCGTACTAATGCTTGCTTTTACCTTTCTGTTTCTCCAACTTGAATCAAGTTAAGTAGTCAATAGCCAACGAAAGGTAAAGCTTAAAGAAACTGTGTCGATTGTAGATTGAAGCAATTCTTTTTTATCTGAATCTCCAAGTAAACAAAAACATAGAATTATTTAACGAATTTTTTTTTCATTTTTATCAAAAACCAAATAAAAAATGAATAAGTAGCACGGTTGTATTCAACTTAAATCGCATCTATTGTAAAAGTCACTTTAGTTTGACGAAACTTCGTAAAAGTAAATGATCTCAGCCGACAAAGCAAAAATCAAGCGATGATGCATAGTCACAAAGAATCTCGGAGGATCGGATATTCCGGAAATGCAAGCCCTTCGGCACAAGTAAAGCGAGCCTTTATTTTTGACGTATAACTAGTTCCTTTTTTCTTTCTCTCTTGATAGTTTGCATTTTTCTTACTAGAATTCGATTTTACTTTTTATTCTTTTATATTTTTTCTTTCTTTCCCTCGTTGATGGGTTCTGCAGCTTCTCTTGGCAGATCTATACTCACGCTGGCCAATTGTTGTGTCGATTCCTGCAGTTTCCGCTTTCTGTTTAGCTATTTGTCGGTTAACATTATGCCTCGGAATATGTTGCGGATAGCTGCAATGAAGGAGTGCACGGTTTAAGAGTAAGTTTTTCTTTATTTTGTCCTTTCGAGCATGTGCAAGTGATAAATCGACAGATCTCGCTCGCTCCAAGGGAAATCGCGTAATGCTCATTCCGTTAATTGTTAATCCCGAATTCTGATGACCGGCGGAACCGTGCACGTGTCTAAATGTTTGACATTTTCATTAGCATTATCCTGTTACCGATCTGTCGAATATACAATCACATAGTTTGATAGATTACGAAGAATAGATATGTAAGGATTACACGTAACCGTGTCGTATTGCGTGTTCAAACTTGTAGCAAACGTTCTTTGTGAATTGCGATTGAGCAAACTAATTGATTGTGCTGTTACACAAGTATGAGAAAAATTATTAAAACCGTAGAGAGTATCATCCGTAATATAATATGAATAGATCGGTTAATTGTGTGGACAAAATCATTGCCGTATAACTTTATCTTTTCATACATGAAAGCCATTATATCAAAGCTTATCAAGCGCGTACGCTCATTATTACTGATGGATGCTTTGCCACCTCTGTAGTGGTCGGGGACGTGTACCCCGATCTCATTGTCAAAATTAGCATTGTCTTTGAGTTCGTCTTCGAGACAAAATCTAGCGCCATGAGGAACCACTATTATCTGTGTTCCGAAGCGAAATAGTTAGCTATCCAATCATAAGTGGAATAGTCAAATAAAAGGACAACACCTACGGCACTTAGATTTCGGACAATCTACGTTAGAGAGGAAATGCGCGGGAGGCAAAATTTTTGATATCTACTCATACAGCTGCGATTAAATAGTTCGTTTGCAGGCCTCATTAGAGCAAGTTGTCAATTTCTATTGCTATTTCATGAAAAGTGTACCTTTTACTCTTTTATATTTGCAGTTTCATTGAATAGATTTCAATCAATTAATTTAACCTCTTGAACGATTCTTATATTTGCGGTGCCTTTTTTTAATCCAGTTTAATTCTTATTTGTTTGGGTTAAGGTGTGAGGAAATACAAAGAGATTTAATTAGGTTTAAAACGAACAATTTAATAAACTAGAACATAAACGTAATACAATTAACAGAAATAACGCAAGAAATCGAACAACTTAAATTAACTGTTAAATAGAAGGTAATTGAGTGAAATAAAATTTGAACGAGTACAAAAAACAGCTTATAAGGAATTTAGAAACAGTTGCGCGCAGTAAAGTATAAAAAATGAAAATTCGCACTAACTAAATTAGTATTCAGAACAAACCACATCTTATCGGTTGGACGTCGGGACGAGTCTGATGCGTCGACCGGCTTTGGCCGATCGACAATGAGCAATGAGGCTCAAAGCCTCACTGCTTGAGCCACCGAGTTTTTTCCCCTTTCTCCGCAGTGGCCCATTATATTCGGATACTATGTTCAAATTTCTTGGAAGGCCGTCGCGCCGTTTAGTTTTCTTTCAAAGGCGTTCATACCAATGGTGCATTTGTAATGCCAATGGTGCAGTTGCAGTGCCTATGGTGCACTTATAGTACAAATGGTGCACTTGTAGTACTAATGGTGCACTTGTAGTGCCAATGGTGCACTTGTAGTGCCAATGGTTTTCCCCTCACATAACGAAATCGCTCAGCAGACTTGTCTTGTTTTATTTTTCTTTGTATTCGCAGTCATGTATTCAACCTCCGACCGGCTCTTACACCGATCATTTCGCTTACACGCATTTCGCAATGACTCGTCCATCGTTACAAGTAACATTCGAACTTACAAATTCGAGCATTCGAGCTTAATTCTAGCTCAATTATCCTATGTTACATACTGAATGTTCGCTTGCAGTTTAAATTCGTACTATGTCTGTCCGTTTGTCGGAGGCATACCTAACCAAGGAGAACAGCCGATATACACGTGTGCGCCATTCGACCCGAGCACGTTCGGCCTTTTTTGGGCCTGCAATCTCTAAAAATCGCGCCGCGCGCGATACCCAACCGCGCCAGCCTTACCCTGGCTCAGGTAGGCCGCGGAAAATCCTCGACCCTGCGACGCCGCCACCAATCGACCGTATCCTCTAACCGGAACATCATTGGTAATAAACTTTGATCGTCCGTTTGATCATATTTGACTTATTTGTACACATCTTTAGCCCTAACAGAAAGAAAGACTTTGTTAATCATGTTCCGACGAGAATTACTGTCGAACAATTGATCATTATTTTATTAAGTTCGTATTGGAATATAACTTTTGTTTTAATAGATTATAGTCAGTATAAATTTTAAATTTAACAAGGCAGAACATTTGGATAGACACTTTAGGTACCTTCCAACAGTATGTGTGCAAAATTCAGACTAATTTTGGGATCTAAGTGGCGTGCTCAAATACATACACAGAGTTTATTAAATTAATTTATTTTATCGATCGATTGAAACCGCAAAATGATTTCAATTTATCAATAGTTCGATGTACCGTAGGATTATCTGTGCTTTATAGACGTGACAGTTAATTTTCTTTTTTTTTTTTTTTCATTTACGATTCAATGAATAAAGAAAGCGTACTTTTTCTCCCTGATATATTAGAAAAAGCAGGTAAGCCTTCGGACGTGCGGTTGTCATGACCTAATCCGATTTCCTCTTAGATTATTGGAATAAGGATATTGGAGGGATGTCAAATTTAGAAATTTCTACTATTTGCATTTCTGAAATAGCGAGGACTTTTTACAGATAATTCACTAATTAGAAAAATCGTTTTATTTACATGTATCAAAGAAATAAGAGATTAATTTGACTAGTTTCTAGAAAACTTATTTTGTATGATATAATTGTTGATAAGGGGACTTCGATTATTACAAGTATCTGTTTAATACGCTACATTTGAGTATCTATTATCAGTCTATTGTCATATTCGAGAAAATGCAATAGTGCAAACTAAATGTCAATTCATATGAGCAGCAGATCAAATTATCATAGAACTCAACATTATTAAAATATAGATCCAATATCCATTTCCATTGACTTTATAAATTAATTTAAAATATGAAGCTCGTAATTGAGCTTTCTCAAGATAATCTACATAATCCAGGTAATAAGATCTCGGACTTAACCTGGCAGAGCATAACAAGATCATTTTCGCCAATTATTCGCCGTGCGCATAAACAAATGACACCACGCCGCGTCGTTGGAATCTGCTCATTAGCAAGGGGTAGTTGGATAGCCTCTCGCCATACATTATCGCAAATTACTTTCCAATATTCTTACTTTCACTCTTTATATATTTCACCTGGAATCATTGCTAGTAACTAGTGCATGCGATGCTTTAGTTGCAGTTTGACATTTCTATGATTTGCTTATGTTTCTAGAGTCAAATGCAAGGGTTGGGTGTGAGGGAGTGAGAGCTTTTCGGTCCTATCTTATATAACGTACCTTGTTCTGTTTATTGCGGTCCACTTTATTCAAGCTGTTGATATTTATTATTACGAGTTGATAGATATGATTGCCATTCACGCAAAATTTGAAGCACTTTGCTTAGGATGAATTTTATATTATGACCATTACAGTTTCAACAAATTGTCAATAAAATTTTAATTAGTTCAAAGGAATCTCATTTGGCTAGGCTCAATCTCATTTAGGTTAAAGAAAGCCACTGTCCTCCGTGACTACATATACGTACAGAAAACTTACTAGCGTAATAAATAACACTGATTGATTTCCCAAGCACGAAAAATCGTCAGAATACTGCATTGCGATCAAAGCATTAATATTAATCACTCTTTCTACTAAGATTTTCAATAAAATTTTAATTTTAACATTATAGAGTTTCTCAATTCTATATTTAGTTTTCTAATGCTAATAACGCGATTACAGATCATTTGAATAAACAATATTTTACTTATTACGATGTTACTAGATTTTTTTTAAAAACTATGTTTTTCAAAAGAACTCAATAACT